TTTTTTTTTTAACTACAGAAAAATGAAAATTTTCTCCATGAGTAAGAGCAAAACCAAGGTCAAAAGAGCAAAAGAGCAATGTTCATGTCTCTTTGGCCCAGCAATTCTGTGTCCAGGAACATAACTGCATAGATGTAACCAATGAAGTATCTATAAAGATTTATTGTTGGCTGGGCACGGTGACTCACGCCTGTAATCCCAGCACTTTGCCAGGCATGGTGCCTCACGCCTGTAATCCCAGCACTTTGGGAGCCTGAGGTGGGTGGATTACCTGAGGTCAGGAGTTCGAGACCAGCCTGGCTAAAATGGCGAAACCCCATCTCCACTGAAATTACAAAAATTAGCCAAGCATGGTGGTGGGCACCTGTAATCCTAGCTACTCAGAAGGCTGAGACAGGAGAATCACTTGAACCCCAGAGGCAGAGGTTGCGGTGAGCCAAGATTGCGTCACTGCACTCCAGCCTGGGCGACAAGAGCACGACTCTGTCTCAAACAAACAAAACACAAAAAGAGCAAACGATCAACTTGGAAAATATAGATGTAACATAACAAAGACAAAAAACTAATTTCCTGTAAGAGTAATAGAAAAACAAAGAAAATGAAGTTGATCTGCAGAAAAGAAAATACAAAGGGTTTTTTGTTTTGTTTTTATTTTTAAAGAGATGGGGTCTTACTCTGTCACCCAGGATGCAGTACAGTGGTGGGATCCTAGCTCAATGAAATCTAAACTCCTGGGCTCAAGTGATCCTCCTGCCTCAGCCTCCTCAGTAGCTGGGACCACAGGCACACACCACTACACCTGGCTAATCTTTTTTCATTTTTTGTAGAAATGGGGTCTCATTATGTTGCCCAGGCTAGCCTTGAACTCCTGGCCTCAAGCAATTCTCCCACCTCGACCTCTCATAGTGTTGGGATCCTGGCATAAGCCACTCTATGCCTGGCCAAATGGATATTTTAAATAGCAGCTTTGAGATATAATCCACATATCACAAAATTCACCTTTTTTTAAGTGTACAAGTCAGTGGTTTCTAGTAGATTCGTAAAGTTGTACAACCATCATCACTATCTAATTCCGTAACATTTTCATTACCCTAAAAAGAAACCCTGTGTCCATTGGCAGTCACTCTCTCCCTGCAAAAGGGATTTTAAACACACAAAAAGTCTTCCTTGGTAACAAATGAAAACATTTCCTGTAAGATTGGCAAAGACCAAAAAGTCTGATACAGTGTATTGGCAAAAATAGGCACGAATCAGCACTCTCGCACACTGCTGGTGGGGTGGTGAATAAATTACTACACTCTTCTACGAAAGGCAATGGCATTTGAAAAATTCTAAATGTCCATGTCTCTTTGGCCCAGCAATTCTGTGTCCAGGAACGTAACTGCATAGATGTAACCAATGAGGTATCTACAAAGATTTATTGTTGGCTGGGCACGGTGACTCATGCACTTTGCGGGGCCAAGGCAGACGGATCAGGAGTTTGAGACCAGCCTGGCCATCATGGCAAAACCCTGTCTCTACTTAAAAGAAATACAAAAATTAGCTGGGTGTGGTGGTGCATGTCTGTAGTCCCAGCTACTTGGGAGGCTGAGGCAGGAG